GTGCTGCTCGACAAGAGCAAGTACCTGAAAACTTGTTGAAAGCTTAATGATTTGTATAGTTAAACGCATGATGCTGGGAGAATGGAGAAGGGAAGAATCTTTAGGTGCTCCAAAGTTTTGGATAGAAAACTGAACCACTTGGAAGCACAGATGGTGTTTTCATCACTTCTTTCTGACAGTTGGGACTTTGGAAGGGATAGAGAAATCTTGAATGTGAACAATTGGCTACGCAGATGGTGATGGTGAACTGGTTTGGCCAACAGCTTTCAATTCCAGACGGATGGATTCCTACTCATAGAAGAATTAGACGGAGGAGGAGAAGGAGGAGGAAAAAACGGATAAAGAAAATGAAACAATAGATGAAAAAGAGAATAATGTGTATTAGGTTATGGTTTCTTTATCTATTATCTTTCTTAAAAAGAAATCATCAGAAGGCCACATCTAAAATCCAGGGCAGCAACCAGGGGTGCAAAAAAGTTTGCCAGATTTCTACTGATGAAACAACTCTGAATAACTTAATTGATTTGTCCCTTGACACTCACAATGTAGTCATGAGAAATGGGAGTCAATAAATAGGGAAAATTTTGCCAAGGGATTAAAACTACCCATGGAAATCAAGTTTATGCTGGAACTAGTAACAAAGTGCTAAGATAAGTGAAGTCTAGCAGAAGTCTTGGCCAAAAGGGACTTCTTTCTACAATTATGAAGGAAACACTATAAGATCAAAGAGATATAAATATAACATATTTATGGTGAAATCGTAAGACAAAATAAGATAAAAATTTAAGATGATATGAGAACCAAGTCCTTCAAAATGACAGGAATTGCATTCATTTAGACATTCAAGATTTACTGAGGACATGTTGTATTCTGGGAGTCCTGTGGGTCCAGGAGATACTGAAATAAATAACAGTTTCTACCCTCAAGGCTTTATGGCTTAGTTGGGGGCAGACAGTCCTATATGATACTCAAACTGCTATGTGAATATCAATGAGCTGCCAGGAAGAAGTTCTACAGAGAAAACAAGGGATCAGAAGAAGTTTGAAGGGAAAGAAGAAATTTACAGGCAGAGAGAAGAGCATTCACAAGCGTGAGCTGAGGCTCTTGCTGTCTCTGGTCTGATGGTGTGCCAGGGGGAAAGTGTGGGAAATGTGACCATCAAATAATGAGCTGGGGCTTGTGGAGGGCTTTGTAATACCTGCTCAAAAAAGATATTTTTTTTCTCATATGAGTGACAGAAAACCTTTAAAGATTTAAGCAGTTGTTGAGGTAAGTGGGAAAACTTTGGTCCATTTGATCTGAATGATTTTTCTGTTTGTTTTTATTGACCTATCTCTGCAGTACTCTAGTTTTAAGTTGTATTTTGAAGACCCGGCTCCATAAGAGGATGGAGAATTGTTCACAAAGTAACCCCAACAACCTCTTTTAGCAAACGCACATCTTCTTATGTGCTGTGAAAAAGTCTTGAGCCTCGTCTTCCTTAGAAAGCAGAGACACTGCATTCTTTACTTTCTATATTTAAGACCCAGGTCTTTTCTTTTCAGAATGAATTTTGTTAGCAAGCCCAGCAGGAAGCAGTAAACAAAAGTGCAGTAAAACTTTACTGCATTTTCTGTGGCAGCATGCTGTCACCTTCAGTGTCACTAGCATCTCCACCTCCAGGAGATGCCACCTCTCCTTGTGACAGCTGCTTTGTTCTTGTAAGGGGGGAAAATATCTTACCTAATACGGATTAATTCCCTCATGTAACTTTAATAAGGTACAGGGGCGTGTCCACAGTGACAGGAATGTTCCCTAACATAAACTGATCATTCTCTAGAGCTAAAGAAAGGTCTCTTTGCTCCTTTTAGTTCAAGCCATTATAGTGATTTTGTTTTCTGAAAATGTTAATGCTTATGTACATTTCTGGAGCCAGTTAAGACTCTGGATTCCCATTCAGAGTTCATGGCCTCAATGTTCTGGCAAATCCACAGTAAAAGTTAGATGTCAAGAAAGTGGCCATGGAATGGTATTTCAACCATGGAAAAATACCTGTTTATTTTGAAAGCTGGAAAAAATAGTTCATCAGAAACATATCTGTTAACATATTGTCCAATTCCAGGTTTTCCTGTATTGCAAACCTTCTTTGTTATTGCTGCATTCATATAATTTTCTCTGAAGAAATGTTACTGTGCTAATCAGTCTCCCATTTTTCTAGAGTCGACATATTTTCTTATTTGATGTTAAATTAACACTTCAGACAGCTTTTACACATGAGGCTACCTTTATTATCCTTTGTACTCTTCACAAATTCTGACCATGTTAGCAAAAATCTCTCAGCTCTTAAGCAACATCTCCTTTTCTATGTGGTAATGTACTATAATAAAAATGGCACCAAGCTTATAAGCCTTGAATTCTAGACCCAAGATTGTCGTTTATGAAATAAGGGACCTTAAAATGTCATCTAACCTCTGCCTCTTAGTGTCCTCTTTTTCCAGGTGGGGAAATAATAATGTGTCCTGCCTACCTTAGCGCTGTCAATAGATCCAGTAGGGAAATGTATCTGAAAGCACGTTGTATTATAAATTTCTTCAAACGTTTATTGAATAACATAATTGCTTATGTGCCTAAAATGCAAAATCGTTCTTCAAAGACTGTGTCTTTATTCAGTCGTAATGAAAGGCCAATTGAAAGGATTTTTATTGGGAGCTGAGTTAATGCAGCCCTGGTGAATTTGATACAGGAACTAAGCTTAGACAACCTATAAGAATGGGTGGCTAATATGTCCTTTCAAACATCTCATTTAGTGTCAGCTTCTCTGCTAAAATTTTGATAGAGAAGCTCATCAATTCAAGATGGAGCCCATGAGTGAAAGTCTGCAGTGCTGAGATCCAGACACTGATTTAAGTGTGATCCACACACTTTAGAATTGAGCCTTGGCAGAGGACGAAATTGACACCTGCAGTGAAAATTTCAAAACACATAGAATCTTTTTCAGATTCACTGTTTCACTTCTTAAATGAGGCTCAGAGGTATCTTTTTGTCGCCAGAAGTTTTAGATCTGCTGCAAAGCCTGGAGAAGCATTCAATGGAGTCTCTCGAGTTCCATGCTAGCAGCAAGGCAGAAATAGTTTTGGCCTGGCAATTTCAAGGCAGGTGTTACCAGTTGGTTGCCTGAACCATGGAAAAACCTCCTTCTGGCCTTTTTAAAATGCCTGATTTGAGCGGCACGACCTCCTGATGGGCCTGCCAGGGAGAATTAGTTTCAGAATGCGCTCATAGAAAGTGGACTGGATGAAGTTGCTGGATGAATGAGGAATGTATCCATAAATGTTGAAAAAAGTCTACCTAAAACAGCAATCTTGGTTTTGGCATCACTGAGGTTGAACTGCTCTTTTGTTTTTTCACTGATGGTAATTGGCCGATGGGTTCAGCTGCTTGTACTGGAGTTTTGTGGTTCGTGATAATAAAATCAAGTCATTGGAAGTCCTTTACAAAATATAGTCTTATAGCAATGAAGGCAAAATATTACGACACATGTTAGTGTCATGAACTTAACAAAAGACTAGAAAATATGTGTGTGCGCTGCTTTCTGAAATGCAGGGTTTTTTCACCTTGAAGAATATAAACGCTCCAGAAGAGCTAGATTCAAGACAAATTCAATCCTTTTGGTGGTCTTCCATGGTTAAAAAAGTGATGTGGTTGTTAGGAAAATAAACCCTCTGGAGAATTTCGCTATTGATTTTAAGAATAAAATGAATAAGGAGGACTCTTGAGTGATTCTTAAGTGTTTGAGGGTCATGTCTGCTTTGAAAATCTGATCAAAACTAAATGTCTCACCCAGCAAAGTGGATACAGCACATACCACAAAATTCCGGTTATAATTCCATGGGGTTCCAGACAGATCCCAGCGCTCTCGGTTGGGTCCCCACTCTGCTTATCTGTACTCTCCCACCTTGCACGTCTTTTCATTTTTTTCCAACTCTCATTTTCTAGCTTTCCTTCTCATTTTGTAGCTTTCCTTTTTTCCACAAACTCTCTTCCTAGCAAATCCGCTGTGAGTTCTTGCTTACCACCCTCACCATCACTGAAGGCCAGTGCATTTCTGAACCTATAATAAGCATAGCTCTCGAACAGAAAACGAGAAAAGTGACAGCTATCATTTCCTCGGGACAGATGTGCTGAGTGCTAGCATACAATACCCTCCGCTCCACGTGTTTTTGAGGTGTCTGAGTTGATTGGTGGCCATACTGTGCATCCCACTAACTCAGAGGAAGCAAAAGATACTGTCCATAATTGAGAAACAAGAGGTGATGGACCCACATCTCTAATTTCTTTCCAGTTTTATTGAGCTGTAATTGACATAAAGCATTGTATAAGTTTAAAGTGTAGAGTATAATGACTTGACTTACATATATTGTAAAATGATTACCACAATAAGTTTAGTTAACATCCATCACCTCATACAGATTCAAAAATAAAAGGAAGAAAAAAATTTTTTGCCTTGTGGTTAGAACCCTTCTACTCTCTTAGGAACTTTCAAATATACCATATAGCAGTGTTAACTATAATAATATTGTGCATTACATCCTCAGTGTTTATTTATTTTATAAAGTTTGTACCTTTTGGCCACCTTCAACTAATTCCCCTCCCCCACCCCCCTGGTAACCACAAATCTGATCTCTTTTTCTGAGGTTTTTTTTTTTAAGATTGCACATGTAAGTAAGATCATACACTATTTGACTTTCTTGTCTGACTCCACATCTCTAATTTTGTTCAAGAACCCCAGAATCACTGGTTAAGAATGCCAGCTATTTGTGTCTCTCTAGAATCCCTTAAAATGAGGATGGCTTATATCAGGTACCCAACCTCCCTATTCACCCCTTGGACTTGGCTGGAGTTGGAAGTGGAGCAACCTTTCAGACCTTCTTATTGAGAAATCTCACTTCCCTCCCTCACTCCACTGAAATCACTACCATGTACCTCTGACTATTGCCTTTTGCTTTGCTTTGTCCACACAGGTAACAACATTGACTCAGGAGGTCTCCCAGTTAGGTAAAGACATGAGGAATGTGTTGCAACTACTAGAAAACGTTCTGTCACCCCAGCGATCATCGCGATTTTGCTCTCTGCACACCACCTCTGTGTGTCCCTCCAGGGACAGCTTACAGACCAGGATGACCTGGAGTACGCACCAACCTTGTCTACACTTGCAAGCAGGTGGTGCTGCTTATCCCCAAGCACAACTTTGTCACGGTAATGTCACCTCAGACATTTGGAGTGTGGATCCCTCCTCTGAGGGGAGCAGCCCCCAACGAACTGGAGCTCATGAGCAAAATCCTGCAGACAGTGAACTTTATCATACTCCACACCTTGATTATTCGCCTGCCCACTACCAGGTTGTCCAAGAAGGTCATTTGCAATTTTTAAGGTGCATCTCTCCACATTCAGATTCCACGCTGACGCCTCTGCAGTCCATTTCGGCGACTCTCTCGTCCTCCGTCTGCTCCTCCTCAGAAACATCTTTGCACCTGGTTCTCCCAAGCAGATCAGAGGAGGGCAGCTTTAGCCAGGGAGCTGTGAGTTCCTTCAGTCTGGAAAACTTGCCAGGATCTTGGGACCAGGAAGGAATGGCACCGGTCTCTACTGAACCCTTGGAGAACTTTCCATTGGAAGTTGTCACAAGCACAGCCGAAGTGAAAGATAACAATAAAGCCATAAACGTATGATATTTGTGCACGTGAGGCAGCTGCCAATTTCAACTCCGCCACTGCATGACAGCTTGAGTTTGCCTTTTTGCCTCTGGCAGGTGCGAAGACTGGGCAAAGTTGGGTGTCCTGCAGGTGAGAGACGAGGAGCCACGGAGAGGCAGAACCACGTCCATATTGTAGCGAACACTTTCTAGATCCTAGAAACATTTTCCTGTACAGATACTAACTTTCTGGTCTGTTTGACAGACTTTGGTAAAAGTCCAAAGACCCTGAGGGTCTGAGCATCTAGAAATCCCAGACAAAGAATTTGTGGATTCGTTTTGTCCCAGGTGGCTTTTGTGAAATGCAGCAAAGGTTTTTCCGGAGTGCCTGTCTGTCATTCCTGAACAATATCCATAGCACTGTTGGCCTCGGGAGTGCACAGCTCCTGCTGATCTATTTTTCTCTTTGTGAAGGCGGAGGGACAATTATCACTGCATGTCATCTCCTAGACAATCAGTCCCATAGAGATGGTGGCCAGTGGTTAGCTATTGCACGTTATTTGCCATGTAAATGAACATGTCTTTATTTATCAAAACAAAGAGAGGCTATTTTTATATCCTTGGTATGAAATATGTATTTAAACTATTTAAAATATTTATAAAGAAATGAATGTTTTCTTTTCATTTTGGTAAAAAACAAGAAAAGCTCGCTGTTTTAACAAGAAATGCACTACCGTTATGTAAAGTAGATCAAAAATTATTTATTGTTAAAAGGATATAGTTTCAAAAGGAATTCCCCTTTTATCTGCATGCAGTTTGCAACAAATGTATCCCCATGCTTCTGGATTACAAAAGGAAAGTGAGGTCATATTTTATTGATGAAATAAAAACGTGGACTGAGTGTCAAGTACATGAGCTCTGGGATGGTGGTAGAGAGGGCTCCACCTTGTCTCTGCTGAATCACGTCAACGACTGAATCAAGGCTGCCCCCACTGTGCCAGCATAAACGTCTCTCCTCCAAGCATCATACTTTATTATTCAGGGGCCCAAAATTGGTGTGTGCAATATGAGATTACAGTTACATTGAGACATTTGGGCCTCATAGTGAGGGAGAAAACCTTGGGTGTATCCACCCCCTGTGCTACTCTTTCAGGAGAGGTTGTAGGCATGAAAATTCCAAAATGGTGCCAAGACTTCTGAGCTATGGCATGTGAGAATGATGCCAGCTTGCACTGGATCCGCACTTTAATTTTTTTCTTTCAAGCGCTCAATAATGCTGCAAGTTATGTGGAGCAGGTGTTTTCATTTTCATTTTGCAGAGAAAAAAAGGATCCCAGAGATTACACAGCAAGGATGCTGGAGATGGTCTAGAACTCATAATGCTCCCTACATCTCAGCCAGCACGCCAATTCAGATGTTGGGCTTGGGAATGATTTATTAAATGTCTTCACTGAAGTTTTGTGTTTAAGAACATTTAGGGTCTGATCATCCCGGACATTCTTAGAAAACATTGAATTCACATTCTGGACTTCCCTGTTCTTATTTCCCACCACAAAGAGTAAACAATCTGAGATTGGATCATTAGAAACATCTAAATTAAGCAAGACTCCTGATGTGTGAATCTTATACCCTAAAATTGGCTAGAGTAGCAGAAAGAAAAGAAATCTTCCCTAATTTGAAAATGAAAACAGTCCAGGTTTATGAGGCAGGTCACTCCAGACTCAATGCATTCTACTCCCCTACCTTGCAAATTCAATCTGTCCCTGCTTAAGTGAATGGAAACACAGAGGCACAGGCACGCTTCTCCATTTAATGTATTCATCTGTAGTCCCCATTTTACTCATCCTGACCCATGTCATCATTTTAGGTACCATTCAAAAGGAACTAACTGGTGTTTGTTTGTGAATATCCTTCTGGCAAACTAGCACTATTATTACTGATGCTAATAATGACTGACATTCTGTTTTTTGAGTACTGACTATGTATCAACAGATGTTTAGGAATTAACACGTTATGTTTCCTCATATAATCCTCAAAGCTAAAAGTTACTGGTTATTATTATCCCCTTTTGGTAAATAAATAATTTGGACATAGATTTTTTTAACTTGCCTAGTCACGTTGTTTTAAATGATAGACCCAATACTCCCATGGGCTCTCTGGGTACCCCTCCCTTCATGTCCATCCATTCTTGCAGCCTTTTGAAACTTTACTAGTAATTAATTTCTTTTGAAATCCATGAATAAAATAAAATAAAATAGTTGGTTTCTTTTAAGCTAGGCATACAAATGAGGATTTGGGGAAGTCCCAGCGGAAGGCTTGGAAGTACGCCCACAATTTTCCAGCCAGTCACCATCTCTGTATCTACTCCTAACAGCTGACTTCAGCAGGCATAAGAACCAGCTGCCCACCCTGGATGGGTGTGCAAGCGGACAAGAAGGAGTGAGCATCCGGGAGAAGGGAGGGTTCCCATGATTTCTTACAGGGGAGTACCTGCCTCATCTGAATCAGTCCCACCTTACTCCCTTATCAACCTTTTCCATCATCATCATTATTCTGACAAACAAGATTCTCCCATACTTGGGGCAGCTCAGAATGAAATGTTTTGGGGTTTTTGGTTTGTTTATTTATTCATGTTGTGATATTATTCTAGGAAATGAGAACTCCAAGTTTTTGTAGATGTCTGATTTTCTAAACATTGTTGCTATGCAAATAGCAGAGGTCCTTGTCTTATCAGGGATGCAATTTTGGCTCCCTACATTTTCCTCACCCACCCACTCTGCTGATGGAGTAAAACAGGGATCCAGAGGGAAGAAAAGGACTTAATTTCTCCATCAAGTATAGTTTCTTAAAAATACTACTGGGGACTAAACTCTTCTGTGTAGTTCTAATTAACAGAACCAGATAGACAGGTTATATAAGACTTTGTTTTGATTCAAGGTACGTAGAAATTTCTGGCATCTAATGTTACTCAAAAATGGTATTTATTGCCTCGAGAGGGGGTAGAATCAGTAACAAGTGTTCTATCAGAGGTTGCATAACTCTTTGACAGGCATATTGTTTTCCAGAAGGGCTCTGTATTAGATGGGAAGTTAGCAGAATACCTGCATCAGAATCACATGGGGTAGTTGTTTAAAATGCAGAAAGTCTGGCTTCAGTCCAACCCCTTTGGATAGAGTCTGGGAATCTACCATTTAGTAAACTTCCTGGGTGACTCATATACACTAAAGAGTGGGAAATATTGGTCTAGAATCTATGGTAGTAGAAGATTGAGTCCTAGCTAATTTATACGTAAGTGAACTAGCATCTAAATTCTATTATAGACAGCCCTGAGTCTATAATTGTATAATAGAGAGCTCTGGTTAACCCTAATATCAGTAGTTATCAAACTTTAGTTTGAATAATGTAGTTCCGGTGGATCTTATTAAAGTAGTGATTTCAAGACCTTCATCCCAAAGATAAAGACTGGGTGCCAAGTGATTCTGATATGAATGTTCCGGGGAACAAACTCTAGAAACATCATCCTAAGCAGTGTGCTCATCTCTTAGATAACAAGGTTCTGTGAGAGGCAGACCAACTAGATTCGAACCAATTAAAACTGACAATTGCGTACAATGCTATTTCCGTACAGTTCCTGACACATCAGTCATTTTTTCATTAAAGTGATCGGTCACTTTCTCCAAGAGAGCTTTGAGCATTCATTCATTCATTACTTCAACTAAGAATGGTTGAGTGCCAACTATGTGTCGTGCACTAGTACCTCTTGACTTCTTGTGGATCTTTGTTTTTCTGTTTCATTTGGATTTTCTAGAAGGAAAAAGAAATGAAAATGCCTTTTGAGGTCTCATAAACTCAAGAACTCAGTTCTTCCCTGATAGGGAGGACTGATGTTTGGATGTGAAGCAAGCCAACTCTTTGGTTAGAGAATGACAATTGCTGTTTAGGGCCTTTGTGTGGAATGAACTGCTCAAGTCGAGATTATGATTTTACCCAGAGCAATGAAAATACCTTGTTCCAAATAGTTCTTGCTAAGGCTGTATCTTCTCATGAAGTGTATAGTTCATTTCCTAAGGCCATCCTTGTAAGACATTGCCTTTACCATAGAATTCTGTAGTGTTCCAAATGTAGTCTTCCCTCAGATCACCATCATCCCTGAAAATAGAGCCTCAGCACAGAGTCGGCTCAAAGAAAGGCATTTTATTAAAGGCTGTTCCAATGGCTTCCTTTGCCCACTTCTTTCAGTTCATCCAAAGGGAAATGCTCCAGATAAATGATACTGAAAAAGGAGCAGGAGTTTTGAAGGGATACAAACGAATATTTGCTTCCAACCATTTTTCCATGCTCTGGGACCCCAGACATGTTATTTGACACTTCTGAGCCTCACATTCTTCATCTAAAACTCCAGGATTAAAATACATCTAACTTGCAGAGTCTTTGTGACGATTTAATGAAGTAATTTATGTGAAAGCACACTGCCTGACATATAACGAATGCAAAGCAAATGTCAGTTGGTCTCCTCTAGCTCTCTCCTGCTTCCCCGCCTCCTCTCATCTTCCTCTCTCCTTCCCTTCCTGATTTCCCCGCCTTCCTTCCTCCCCTCTCCTCTTCCCTAATCCCTCCCTGGCTGTCCCTTTTTCTCCGTTTTCCTCTCCCCTTAGATCTTCTCCACCCCTCTTTCATCTCCCTGCTCTCCCTTTCTCCCTCCTTCTTCCTCTCCCGTGTCCCAGGCTAACTTCTGGAAAATGAGCCCCTTTGATGTTCTCTCTGCATAGGTCACAATCTAGCTTTTATACTATGGCCCCTACAGTCTGTTCCTCACAGTTATTAACAATCAAGTCAACATTTGCCTTTAATAAAAATGTCGTTGCGGAGGCACCAGGGTAAAAACGTGCTGTCTCAGCTCCCAGCCGTCTTAGCCCCAACCCATGTAGCTTCTGATTTCTTTATCTGAATTTTAATAATTAAAGCCTTATTTTTAAACTCTTTACAACTACAGAAAGATTGAGAAAATTTATTCACAAACATGAGTATATTCCATAAACATAGGCTTCTTTTTTTCGTCTATAAAGTTTCTCTATGGAGATGTGCTGTTGCTTCAGGAATCACACACATACGTATGCCACACCTACTACCCCAGGCCCCAGAAGCCCTGCGCACTGTCAGCCAGAAGCCTCGGAACTTTCCCTGTGGCAAGTGGTCTTGCCCTCTTGCCCACAGCTCCTCCAGTTGCAAGCAGAAATGATGAAATGTCTGCCACTTCACACGGATGCCTTCAAAGCTTCCCCTCGGTATCCCATGGAGAGAGTAGGTCCCCCCGGAGGGAATAAGCTAAATGTCACTCCCTGCAGCTTGTGTCCTGAAAGAATCTGTTCCTTGGATTGTATCATTCAATAGAGCCCTGAATAAAGGGCTCACAAAAGACACGAGGACAGCCCAGGAGGGGAGAGACAAGCGGATCTGCACCTGTTGTTCCAGGGAATCAAATAAGTGTACATTCTAGAAAAAACGGCTGAGGAAAAAATGTATCCTGTTGGCAAAACTATTTCCGTCTGCCTTTAGGTTTTTCCCCTATGGAGAGAAGAAGATGGGAATGAGGTGGAATTTAATACTGAATCTAAGGCACTGTTTGGGTTTTTTTTTTTTACAGTTGGCTTGATAAAAATAGAACGTACATATGTGCTATATTTGAGTACAACAGAATAAAATAGGAGGAAGTGAGACTTAAAAGTGTGCCCATGCTTTTCATTTTTGTAAGAACCCTAACTTGTAAGAACACTAACTTGAAAGGACCGTTCTCCTTTAGGAATTCCCTCTGGGGCGAGGAGTGCCCTGTCCCTTCGGTTCTCTTGCTCTCTGTAGTAAATTTTCCGCCAATGCTGAGGCCCCTGAACTCCAGCTGCAGTTTATTCTTCACTATGGTCTATTTGCCCTGAGGGAGAATTATTTCTGAACTCAGAATGGGGGTCCGTGTTAACTGCTGCTGAGGAAGGGGCTCATCCGCAGCTGCATCTCTCAGGGACACAGGGCCCTGCGGGGCTGCAGCCGCATGGGCAATGCTCTGAGTGTCTTCGCGGTCCTTTGCTGTGATTGGCAGTGATGTCCAGGAGCCGCCAGGTTGAAACACAGATTTCTGAAAGTTGCCATGGTGACCTGTCGCCCCAAATGAGTCATGATTGCTTCTCCTGATCTGATCAGGCAACCTGTAGAACAAAATTAAATTGTCTCCTCTGGCTTCTAGTACCCAAAAGATATTTGAGTCTGAGACCTGGATCACTTAGTATATCTCTGGTTAACTTACGTGAAAACCACATCTGCAGAGAAAGGATGAAGGAGCCAGCATTTCTGACTCTTGCTTCTCAAAGTGTAGTCCATGGAGCAGCAACAGGAGCTTTCATCTGGGAGCTTGTTAAAAATTCAATCTCGGACCCCATCCCAGAGCTGCTGAATCAGTCTGCATTCTAACAAGATCCTCAGGTGCACATTGTACAGTTTTTTAGAAACACCAGAATAAACATTGGCTCTTGACTCTGGCTGCCCATTAGAATCACCTGTACAGCTTTTAAAAACCAGATTCTTGGCCGCACCTCAAAGATTTTGACTTAGTTTTTCTGAGAGGGACCCAATATGTAATGCTTTAGACTTCCCAGGTGACTCCAGGATGCGTCCAGAGTTGAAAAAACATAACTTTAGAACAGCATAGAACAGCACTTCTCAAAATATGGTCCCCTGACCAGCAACATCAGCGTCACCAGGAGCCAGTTAGAAATGCAGATTCTCAGGCCCAGCCCAGACCTACAGAGTGTGAAACCCTGGGGTGGGCCCCAGTAATCTGTGGTGATTCTGGCACCTGCTAAAGTTTGAGACCAGTGCTCTAGCCTGGGGGACAAAGGAACCAGCATGGGCTGAAGTAGGTCCTAACCAGGTAGGAGTTGGAATATAATAATATAGTATTATCATACACTAGATGTTTAGTGAGATGCATATCAATATCAGCCTTCTTCCAGGAAACTCATTTTCTATCAGAGACTAGGTGGGGAAGGAAGTTCATAAAATATGTATTATTGAGCAGAAAATCACTGTGAGCTACTGAAGCTTAATGGCCCTATGTTGCTCTGGGGGACATTGTAGAATATGACCATGAGTGGCCCCATCTGAGGAGGAGGAAGTGGCATATTCATCCTCCAACTCCCATGTGTCAATGGCTGAGGGCTGCTCCCAGAGATGTTAATGTCACAGTATGCCTGGCCCGCCCCGTGCAAAGGCAGAGACAAAGCCTTAGCAGAGAGTCACAGGTCTGCGTGTGCACAGCAGATAGGGGCAGGGCACCAGTAAGCATCTGCTGCGTGAGGTATGTATCAGGTCCAGCCAACAGACAGGAACCACACAGTAGTTCGAATAGGAAACACTTAATATACAGAATTATTCCTTATTTATAGAGGATTAGCTCCTATGAAGAGATGAAATAGAATGCTAAAAAATATCCTATGGCCAGGAAGAGTCGGCAAGGAAGGAGCAAATTTGGAAGAAGCCTCCCCAAAGCTAGGATCCAGACTGCTGGAGAAATTGTAGTACCCACTGAACGGCAGGGAAGTTTGCTGAGTTGCCTGGACCAGAAACGTCCAATTGCTGGACTGAGGCTGGAGGGTAGGGAAATACATGCAGGGCAAACAGGAAACCCCCTGCCGCGGTGCAGGTGGATTGAGGCTGGAGCCAGAACTGGCAAGCTGAAGGCGAGCATCACTGGGTGTCCAGCATGCTCCTGGTCACCGAGTACCACAGGAGCCAACCAAGCAGCGTTGGGAAACCAGAAGCCCCTTTCTTCTGCAGTGTCCCTCCAGCGCCCTCTACTGGCAACGGGGAAATATTAACAAGGTCCAATCCAGTATCTGTAATGGCAAGGCAGCAGGGCAAAGAAAGTTGGGTTTCGGGGTGAGTCTGACACAAGGTAACACTGTTCACATAAGATCATTCTATAAACGGAATAACATGTAAAAGATTATTTTTCAAATTGTAAAATTCTCCTTGATAGTATTGTTAAATGAATGTTTTTTTTAAAAAACATCAGAATTACTGCCTACAAGAAAACTTTTTCACTGCTACCACTATTTATTATTTTTTCTAAAAAATCGTTAGCATATGGTCTTCTTAAGAAGGTTTGTCTTCTGTGTAAGAATGTTGTGAATTGACTTCTGTGTCCATCCACATCCTCTCGCGTTGCCTAAAATTCCTTTAATGAGGATCAAGTCTTTTGTCTACAATTAACAACAAGTGCTATATATCCATTTTAATCCATATAATAGAAAGGCTGTAGCATATCTTTATCTCTTTCACTGCAAGTTTTGATAGGTAGCCGGGAAAGGGAGGAGAATGGCTGGGGTACAAGGTGAACGAGATTCTGCTTAGCAGCTAGAATGTCATTGCTTCCTTCCCTCAACGACCGTCAGGAAACCACATCTGCTTTTCTCACCCTGGTTAACACAGTCAGAGAGGGTGAACCAAAAACACAAGTTGAAATCCTCTCTGATATAGCACACTTTTCTTTCTTCTCCTCCTCACTAGTGATAAAACTGTCAATTAAAATATCACCTTGAGATGTCTTTATCATATACACATCCAATTAATTAACCTTTCCACTAAATGAATTAATCTCTTGACCCGTCAATATGCTTCTGGCTATTAATTTATTATTTCCTTTCAATTACTGTCAATGTTCATAGTCACTCATAACTCTTAAAAATAGAAAAA